TGCGGAGGTTATCACCTCACGAGAGCGTAGCTACTAAACTCCCTCCTAATAAAGGACAAAGTCCAAGTAGAAGGCTTATGAATGAATGCAATGTGTTGTGTGTGTGAAGGAACGTACCAACCTTTGACGGACAATCTCATATCCTTCTACCCTAAATTTCTCACAACAAATAAAATAATGATTATAAAACATTTAAAGCACGAGACCATAATGCACAAAACAAATATGCAATTTTAAAAGAAACATTAAATTATTTAGGGCTTAAGACAACCTATGATTAATTAGGGCTCGACTATCTTTGTCCCTAGTGGAGTCGCCAAGCTGTCATAACATGCCGAGTCCGGGAACCTAACCGCTAGACGTGATGTATTTGAGGAGTCGCCACCAATCTTTTTCAAACCTAGGTGTGATTGGCCACCTAATAAACTTGTTCTCTTAGACGAAATCCTAAATTAGTTTTAAGTCCATTGAAAGAACAATAAACTAATCTATGTATTTATTTAGAGTTGAGTTCGGGAGTACGGTTACGCACAAGGAAGGATTAGCACCCCTATGACACCCGTTCCACGAATGGTACCATTTAATCATATATTTTCCTAGCCCATTAATTTTATTGTTATGTTTCCTTAATTTGGTTTATTTAATTCATCTTTCATTCTATTAATTAAAGACATATTATTTGTTTTTTTTCCTTGTGCTTGACGTACACATGATGTAATCTTGCCAGGCATGATATAAAATCAAGATAATGTCAAATGAAAACCTTTTATTGAGTGTCCTTTTCGAATTCGTCCGTCATGCTGGTGGGATCTGAGAATATCCTCTCACCTAGGAAAAATGCTCGATAAACTCTCCTTTGCAAGTTTTACGAGTAGATCCCCTCATCGGGATAATCGTTTACGAGTAAAAATAATATTTTAATGAATGTAAATCCTAGTACTAGCAAAAGCTTTTTATTAAAGATATTTCTTTGAATCCTCCCATCGTTCTGATGGGATCCGAAGGTATCTTTTCACCTAGGGAGTTTACCGAAGAAACATGCCTGCGCGAGCTTCCTCGAAAAGTCCCATCATCGGAGCCTATGCTCGTATACGGAATATTTCTATATGCCATGACATTTTACAATGAAACTACGGTACATGATGCACTTAATTGCAATGTTTGCTTCTTATTCTACTTAGAAATGATATGTTCTTTTTTGTGCATATTTATTATGAATAAATATTTCACATTTATTTTTTATTTATTTTATTCCGTTATGTATGTTATTACATAAATACTTATGAGATTTTCCAAAATCACATTTTT